TCTGAAATCCTGCGTCCTTTCACTGGAAAGACCACCTCTGCGGTACAAAATTCTACTCACCTGGTATCAACAATCAAGGGTATTTCCCTGTCCCCAGACGACCTGCTTGTCAGTTTTGATGTAGTTTCCTTATTCACCAAGGTTCCTGTACCTGACACCATTGCAATCATTGAAGACTTGGTTCATCAAGGACTAAACACTGAGGTACCCCCCCTGGTGAGACACTGTTTAACCAATACATACTTCACTTGGAATGGAACTTTCTACAAACAAACTGAGGGCACCCCAATGGGCTCCCCCCTTTCTCCAGTTATAGCTAACATTTTCATGGAGAAATTTGAGACTGACGCCATCCAGACTGCCACTCTGCGCCCAACCTTATGGAAGAGGTACGTGGATGACACTTTTGTCATCTGGCCACATATGGCCGGCCTGCTCTAGACCAATTCTTCGACCACATCAATTCCATACACCCAGCCATCAGATTTACCATGGAAGTCGAAATAGATGGCAAGATACCTTTTTTGGATGTCCTAATTAAAAAGAGACCTGATGGTTCAATGAGCCACTCTGTCTACAGGAAAGCTACCCATACGGATGCTTATCTGAAACCGGATTCCCACCACCATCCATCACAGAAGAATTCTCTCATCAAGACTTTGTATCATAGAGCCCAATGCATATCCGACCAGGAACACATAAGCAGTGAACTCAAGCACGTACACCAAGCTCTTAGGGCTAATGGTTACTCCGACTATACAATCCGCAAAGCTATCACTCAAACCATGAAGAAGAACCCTCTTGAGGAGCCTTTCAAAACCATCACTTTACCCTACATTGCTGGGATCACAAAAAAAAAAAAGATCTCCAAAATCTTGAATAAACACAAGATCCAGGTCCGTTTCAACACATTACATAAAATCCGTGATCTGGTTCCGTCTGTAAAAGATGTGATTCCGGACATACAATACCCTGGTGTCTACAAACTAAGTTGCCTCTGTGGTAGTAGTTACATTGGAGAAACCAAACGCCATATCTCGGACCGCATTCGTGAACATAAAGCAGACCTTAAACACGGTAGGACCAACACCTCGGCCGTAGCAGATCATTGTTCTAATTCAGTAGGCTCACATGCCATTGACTTTTCCAAGACGGAGGTTCTTTGTAAGCCATCTGGCTTCCATGAGAGATTCGTTCATGAGGCTATCCACATATACAAACACAGAGACAATTTCAACCGAGAAGATGGATTCTATCTTAGCAATCATTGGAAAGATTTGATAAATCATTTCAGTTCTTGATTGATTGTTCACGCTTACAGTGCCTTTCAGACAGCATACATAAAAACAAATTTCGTCTCCCCCCTCCTCTTTTCAAAAAATAGATGGACTAGTCCTGGCAAACTGCCATCGTTGCGCGTGACGCAAGCGTTATTTTTAAATAAATAAATAAATGTGCCGTTTTCAAAATAAATTTATGCAAACCGACACACCTGATGATGACCGTTTGAGTTATGGTCGAAACGTCGTGAGAATTTTTTATTGTTTTATATATATTTTGTTATTTTGTTGTTTCTCTTCAACGTGACTTTACCGAAAAAACTAAGAATATGAATTACTGCAGTCACGAAAGCTTTAAATCAAAATTTAGTAATAAATTGTTAATTTATCTACTTTACATTTGACGGATGGGAAAAAGAAATAGCGATTTGTCGGTCGGGGGCTTTGTGTTGTACGTGTGTAGTTTGTGGAAACATAAACCCAGCAGTTTGTGAGTTAAATGCGTCATAAGGCGTGTCCACACACACACACACAGACAAAAAATGACATTTATAGGTAAGATATTGCATGTTGAACTTCTTTCACAGTGTATGCAGACAACCGTGCTAATAGGTGTGTGGGAAGGACACCTAAACACAAAAAGTTATTCTCAATAAACGAGTATTCAATCTAAATTATTTAAAAGTCAATAGCTCCAGTGGCTTCCTAATATCGGAAGTGTTCCACACGGCCGCAGGAGCGCATCTGAAAGCCCGCGATGTAGTGACCGTCTTTATAAAGCACATAATGAAAGCACCTCGGCATACTTACCACCTAACCCCTTCACAACCACTCACCCGCCTCCCATTAATACACAACCCACACCTCTCCACTTCTCCCCAGCACTCACCCATTTGCACGACACTCCACTCAACACCCACACCTCACCCTCCAAATTACCCATAAAAACATATTCATAAAAATATTTTTTTAGAAAGCAATTTTCACTGAAATATGTTTCAAAACAATCCTAACAAGTAAAGAGATGGTTTGATTCTAAATCGGGGACATTGCATGCACGACACTCGTAAACTGTAAACTAGGTCGTAGCCTGCACACCATTTCTAAACCCTAAAACAAGTGGCAGTAGATTTTGATTTAAAGCTTTCGTGACTACAAGGATTCATCTTCTTTGGTTCTTTCGGTAATGTCACGTAGAATGAGAATAAAATCATAAATTGATAAAATAAAATAACACAATAAAATTCTCACGACGTTTCGGCCACAACACAAGCGGCTTTCATCAGGTGAAGGGATGAGACTGTCTGGAGGACAGCGCAAAGAAGATGAAGTGGCAGTAGCATTGCCAAACGTATAAAACACACTGCATTGTGACATAAACATAATGACATAAATTTTTGTCAAGTTCCAGCTCTGAAAATTAATAAATAAACTTTCCAGTTTGACTGGCACACGACGGACTCCTCGACAAGCAGAATGCGCTCCTTGTGAAGTTAACCCATTCTTTTCCCGTTCCGAGACACCTGCAAGTTGCAGGGTGGGTGTCCCGTTCACCTTTGAATCTAGAGGCGTAGAGCCGTTGTTTTGAAAGACATTGCACTCACCACAGAGAATAGTAGCGTCGCGACCGCACTCTACCACAGCTGGCGCCCACACGTCCTCCCGCGTGGCATTGTGGGAGCCTCGGTACCGATAGTTATTTTACTTTAGTACTCTTTGGTGCTTTCGGTAAAGTCACGTAGGTATAAAAAAAATAACAAAAATGTAATCACGACGTTTCGGGCGCAACACAAGCGTCCATCATCATTATTTTACTTTAGTAATTCTTTCGGGTTTTTTTTTTATAATGTGCAGGTACATCATCGGAATGGGAAAAGGTTAAAAGGACATGTGGAGGGACCTCAGAAAGTAGTTCTCGATAGTAAAGGAGGCACTCTTTTGTGAGAGTTCCAAATGGATATATCTGCATCTTGGGACATCATGCCATTATAAGCACAATTGGTAAATAATTGTGTGTGTGTGTGTTTGTGAGACCAGGAAGATGAGCATTAAAACATGAATAGACGAATCAAGCAGCAATCCCTGAAAAGATCTGTACGGCATGCAAGATAAAACGGTTAAACGTCACAAGCCAGAAGGATAGGGTGTATTATACACTTTGTAAATATCATGTGCAAATGCAGACTTTAAAAACCGCTCATGTCGGATTATCTGTAGTTGTCTGCTGAGAAACCACATGCAAACCTTGCAAAATTATCTTGTTAATGCGGGGAGCCGCAGCAAACTAAGAGGGGTCTGCAAATAATTGTCTGACGTGTATACTCGATTTGAATGTCATTGATGTAACCAGGTAAGGCCCACTGAGATTTGCACAGGATAAAATGTGGAGCTTTTATAGTAGATATTAGATATGATTATGCATGCATATGACCATATCACCCAGAATGCACTCAGTCCCATTAGACCTTAGGAGCCAAGCAGAGTTGAACCTGGATAGTGCTTGGATGGGTGACCAGCATGTATAAAACAGGCGTCGCAGGTTTTGTACAGCAAAACCCAGTTCTGTACCAACCTCACTGACACAAACACACACTGACCAGCATGAAGTATGGTCAAAGAACCCTCACTGCCTGCAATGAATGGGGAGGCTTCTCATCGAGCAATGGAATGCCAAATAGGCTGCACGTGCACAATGTATGTCACGTAACCTGTGACACACACACAACCACCTACTTACAATCTTGTGACCAGTGGACCCACACCAACTATGAGTGGCCTCCACATGCACAACACTCAAGCAAGTGAAGGTCGTCGGAGGGCAGCAGCGCTGTCTAGACGGTGACACTGACACCCACATTTGCAAGAGCCCATTAATGTGTGAGAGTAATTATTTGATGAGACCTGCATAGTAGTGAAACTCAGGAAAAAGAGCTCCGTTTTTTAATTGCCGAGCATGGCGGGTGAAACCAGAAAAACAAAATATTGACAAATCATCCAATCCTGAAGTTGGATGCACAATATCAGTGAAAAGACTTTGATCATTTCCTGCATAAACAACTCAATGGCACAAATCAAACTGCTGACTCTGTGTTGTATGGATCAGTGATGAACACAACTCTCAACGAGGCAACAACGTTTTGATAAGTTGCTGCTGTGCTGTGCAACCTGAAGCGCTGATTTATCCTTCCAGGGAGAACTGCTCACCACCGCAGGAAGGTGGAATTTCCACAACTGGCTTAGGCTAACCAATGGAGATAAGGCATCACACATTTTTGACCATGGGATATTCTGACAGTTCTTTTCCAGAGATTCAACCTCCTTTTGCATATATTCCTCACCACAAACATACCATTCTACATGATCACTTATATTATTAAGCATCTTTGCCTAGCAAAGTCTGAGGCTCAGGACTCTTTCAGGAGGGTCCTGCCAAGTTTTCGAACCAGGTGGGAAACAATTGCTGAGTGTATTCAAACCGAGTAATCCAACCCACACTTTGACACTACCAACAAACCCACACACATGCCAACAGCTATTAAACACACCCTTCGGCATGTTCTCAACCCACCAGTCCACACACTCGTACCTCGAACTAAACTCTTCCACACGCGCTCTTAACCAGCGAGAGCAGCCTAACATACGCACGCGTGCGGCCCCCTTCACAACCAGCCCACCCGTCACGCACGCCCCACAGCACAGCACTTGCTTCGCTCGCCTCACCCGGCGAGCATCTCGAGCTGCGAGTAGAGGAAGCGCAGAAGGCAGCGGCGCGACACGATCTCGGCGTGGCAGTCGTTGAGGGCCAGCCCGCGGTCGCTCATGTACTCGCCGTTGATGCACTTGGTGCCCGTCGAAACCGAGATCACTCGCGCGTCCTTCACATCCGGGCCTGCACACGCATCACACGCGCAAGCGGACGAGCGCGCGCACATACATGCAAGCACATTGCACGCACGCACACACACACACACACGGGAAGATATGCACACATGGAAGCACAGGCACGCATGCATACACACGTGTGCATACACAAACACGCATGCATGAGCACATACAGGAGAGGAAACAAACACAGGAACGCACGCACTTACATACAGGCATACACAAACAAACATGTGTGCGCACACACAGACAGACACAAGGGTATACACAGGGACAAACATATCCCCCTCGTGTGCATTGCGGGTGGGCAAAAGAGAAGGGAGAGGTGCAGACAAGACACACACAGACGTAGTCACTGAACGTTAAAGAGGAAAACGCACATTACACCACTGCAATGGAATTAGAGTCGGCGAGGAGCGGCAGCGGCGTGACAAAATTAATTTTAAAGTGCCAAAGACGCTGTGTCTTCAAGCAGTTTTTATCATTCCGACAAAAGCACCGCATTGTTCACTTAACACGAGCTTGACACGAGGAACTGCTTCTAAAAGGTAATTAAGATCCACCGGCATGACACCCTTGATTTTCCACCCTTTGGTTAAAGACTCAATGGAGATAAGATGCCATTAATTACCCAGCGACCTGCTCTTTGTGAAAACCAAATGTTTTGATGTTTGGGGGGGGGGGGGGAAGTCTAAATAAACTCATGAACTCTCACATAGATGCCACACAGCGCGAGCACCGCGCCTAAATGAATTCCTGTAGAACAAGACGTCAACTCGTCGTCTGCTCGATTTCACATTGCATTACCTTGCTATTTTTGCAAAGCTGGTGGGAAAGCACCATAAGCAAAAGAAAACATGTTTGAATATTGATATGGCTCCAGCATGGAACATAAGAATATGTAATGTAAAATACACTATATAATTGCATGGGAGGCTAAGGAAAGCAATGTCAACATTCAGAATGAAAGTGTTGAAAGATGCAATGAGGAAGTGGGGGCTGGATGCAATGTTTGGGACAACGTGTGCAGGATCAAGAGGATAGGGTGGCGCTCATGTATACAATGCAGGTTGGGTGTCTGCTGTACGACGGCTAATGGATCTGGCAGAACGAAGGAAGCGATGGTGAGATGTTGGTGGTATTTTCAAGAGCACCGCCCACAATGACCCCCTTGAATTCAAGTCTGGCATTTCCATTGAACCAGAGCGAGCAAAGCAGCGATACATAACGCACTCAATAAGCCCCGGTCTCGCCAGGGTGCCATCTATCACCATCAATCAATGACGAGCAGCGATGGCTTTTAATCATTGATGAATGCGCAGGCGGTACGCCGGCATACCAAGGGGCGAGCTTCATTTCACATTCAGAGTGACGCGCCTTCCAGCTGGTGAGTAAGGGAAGCTCGAATCAATCCGTCTGCATCGCGGCGGTACTTACAGCATGATGTGCGCCGAGACAATTCCTTTCGTCGCTGGGGCAAGAAGCTATGATGTTTTCTCCCCCACATGCAATTCGTCAATGTTTTCCTCGCCACCCTGCCCCAAAACCCCACTAACCCTTGCCCGCTCGTAGTCCATGGGGCCACCACCGAGCGCTCGACTCTGAACGTGTTATAAACGCGTCAATGGCACACGCCCAAGAGCAACAAACAGCTATACGTTACACGATTAAACGGCTTTGTCCGCTTTCCACACCCCCTGAAGAGGCGAAATAATTGGTTCACCGATGATGGGGATGGTATGTTTGCATGTGTTCACGAAACTTAAATGCAGAACTTTAGGCCGACCTTTAAAACATTGAGTCCACATTGAAAAATGATGGGGGGTTTTTTTTCTCAGATTTATATAGCTTTCAGCATAGCCTTGATGAGTATTTGTGTCAAATGTCAGCTTTCTAGCCTTTCTACGACATCAACAGATTTTATATCCATCACTCACGATGTCACGACGTGTTAGCTGTTGCTCTATCACGTGCGTTTATCGTATATCTTTTTTTTATATTGCTGCTGGGCATCACAGCAAAAAGGATAGATATGCACTTCCTTAAAGATCACGTAAAGATAGTGCTGTAGGTGAGCAGAAATGAAGACTGGGGCCTGGTGGGGTGAATGTGGCCATGCACACCTTTGTCTCCCCATTGCTAATGTTCACAGAACCACACCAGGTACTGTATGTATGTATGTAGAACTTCTTTCGCACCATACGTAGCCAACCATGTTCATCGGAGGTGTGCGCGGATACAGAGGTACGGGATCGGTAGTGTGCTTGTGGTTTACAAAAAATTACACAGGGTGAGGCCCAGGCCAATTCCTATTCCTGTTGAGCATCGTGGTCAGGATTTCAACTTGGATCATCAGCATTGCAGAAGTGCATTTATCACTATGGGATATCTTATCACACACTGTCAGGCATCTTTCCTCTTGAGGTTGCCACTCGGTCATTAGTCTCAACCACTGGCGAGTAAGACAAGCTCACCATGGTGGCGAGATTATAAATACCTCGCCAGGTATACAGGAGGTTGTGGGTTCGATCCCCATTCTGACACCTATATATTTGGAATTTGCATATTCTCCCTGTAGTCGCATGAATTTTTCTCCGGGTCCTCCGGTTTTTCCCCTCCACATTTAGAATCAATATGCATTTAGATTATTTGGCTGCTACAAATTTCCACATGACAAGCCACTTCGTTGAGCTATCTTTTGTGGCCAGGTCGCTTCTGAAAAAAGAGCTAAATAGCTCAGTGGGCCTTACCTGATATAAATAAAAAGTTAAGTTTATAGTTTTAATAGTTTCACCCCTTCTTGCCCGGCCCCAGACCACTTCCCATTTTCAACATGACGTCTCTAACCTGTATTCTCTCTCCGATCCATGCGTTTATCTTTTTCCCTCTCAGCATAATTCCTCGCGTATACTTCTCCACGCTTCTTTGTACCCATTTAAAGTTTTGCGCCATTTTGTAAGTGCCCACGCTTCAGATCCATATGTCAAGGCAGCTAATATGCACCGACTGAAGTACAGTCATACGTGAAGTCTATTAACGCAAAGGTCGTGAATCTTCAAGACGAGCGCCGTGATCAAAACCCTCCATGGTAAGTCTGGCAGCCAATAACAGCGGAAAGACTCTCAACAAAAGGTATGCCCGGGATATGCCTAACACCAGCAAGTTTACCAGTACTGCATTAGCCAAATCTGTCAGGCGATGTTCAGAAACCTATTGTTGGTGTTTGTGACGCGCCAAGCGGGCAACATTTCTGTCCAGCTTCTGCAGCATAAAGTCAACTTAAAACCTGCGCGTCACCTGACACAGAGTCACATTTTATATCCTACACGTCAGTTTTGCATGAGCGTTGTTCAGAAACGGCACGCATATATGCCTGCATCTACGTACAGTTGTTTTTTGTGTGTATGAAAAGGCTTTTGCAACAAGGAAATAAAAGAATGAAGACCGATTAATCTTTTGCTATGAGGCAAAAAATAAAGCTTGTTATTATTAGCGTTTGATATATTCCACCGGAATGAAAAATAATGACATTTAAGTCAAGCATTACATTCATTTCACTTTGACTTTTAGTTTTAAAAGAAACTGTATATACACTCACATTTACATCAATATCTCTCTCACAATTACAAAGAATCCTGTAACGTATTACATTTAGAATGCTAGACAAAATCTAGACTGCTCATGGCCAAAGTCTCTTTGTCTTTGATAACCAAACAAGAGACACAAGCGCAGCTCTTTGTTGAATGTTAAAAAGGAGGGGATAAGATTTGTTCATGCGGAAAGATGAACCGAGTTGCTACGGACGCAGTCACCCAATCCCCGACTTGCGTAACATCTGCAGAAACATTTTTGTTTTTCCACAATGTAAATCGGGTTCGAAATGCGCAACTATTATATTTTTGGACCTCATCCGTTGTTCATAAATCGGCAAAAGGACCGTGAAATATATCCCTTGAAACTTCTTTTAAAATATTAAATGGAGGACGTCGGTGCAGGCAGAACCACGTATTGTAAGTGACAGGTCCTGCTTAGTGCGATATTTCACAGTAATGAATGAGCTACATGCATCGCCAACACTATAAAAGACAAACAGGGCCAATTACAGACTTGCTTTTTACGACCGCCACCTATCGTTTCACAGCTGCCGCAGTTGTCAATTCTTTACACCTGACCAAGAGGCCCTGCATGCAAGAGTGGAACGGCAAGCGTCAATAATTCAATTTCCCCCTACATTTTACGGGGGGACGGCCGTAAGTGAAACCAGCCTTACCATGGCCGCTCTTTGATTGAGCGTCACTTGCCCCGCAATTACCTCCGCAAAAATGACGTCACCGGAGGGCAATGCGCATGGCGGTGGTGGCGGTGCTTGCAAAAGCCCGGCAGCCGCTGACTCCGCAAATAAGTCGAGCGGAGCGCACGTTCGTAAATAAATCATTATTCGGAGCCGAGCCCCAGGAGTAATGACCCTCTGATTACTCGCGACGTTAACGGTTCGCCAGGGCCAATCGGCACGTAACCCGTTCTTGCCGAGATTGCCGTTAGCCCGTCGACATTTAGAGTGTTCAGGGCTAGCAAGCGTTGGTGCTGCAAGGAGAGTATCTGTGTTCTGTGCTTCTTTATAACATCGACGGAGAAATGTATCGTGTAGGTGTTCGCAGTCGCTCGTAATCAAAATGTGGTTACCGAGCGTTAGGCCTTGTTTTGAGCATTTCTACCCTCAAGCTTTTGCTACGCACTACTTCTGTCAAGTTTTCACCATGTGAGCAGTGGTGAAACACATAACATAGGGCCGTAACTGGAAGGCCACAGCTGGAGAAATGTAAGACTCGCATAATGCGCCCTTACCCTCTTAAGTAATACATCGTGGACCATTTTACAAGTTTAATCATTTGTGGTTGAGAAAAAGGCCAACGGCACTCGTAAGCATGTCAATTGAAACGTTTCTTGTTCATTTGGGTAGAAAACAAACAAAACGTGAGAATTAACAGATTACAATTGCGCGATCATTGCCGTAAGTGGCACAGAAGGTAGTCCTGAGGTTAAACATTCATATTTCGGTACGCCATTTTTCCTTACTACAATAAACCACCACGTCGATTTTAAGCCTCAAGTGACAATGTTTCATTATTATACGCTATAAATATTTTTGCCACCATTTGATTTCAATATTTCATTGTCTTTATATTTTGTCACTTGCACATTCCCGCTCTCCTTGCTTTTTTGAACCCAATCATTTTGTGCAAAATGAGATTCTTTTTAAAGTGGGATGTTGTCGGGCGGTGGTGGCTATGCACGTGGCACTGTGAAGGCGAGGGTTGGTGGACCATTCGCACAACTCTCTTCCCGAGGGCATGAAGGAACCATACTGTGAGATTGTGGCAAGCCAAGTACGAACTAATATCTGTCGTCTGTATGGGACAGTGTTTCCCTCCGAAAAAATATGATAGGCTCACAGTGAGGACATCACCTTTCCTCTATTTTAGACTGAAAACAGTAAGACTTGTTCACAATTCTGGAAAATTGCCTGATAAAGTTGGTTGTAATCACCCAGTGAAACGTCGTACTCAAATTGTAAATGTTGTGGGTTTACTCTTGAACAACTGCGTGCTGAAGCAATAACTAATTGGCACGTTTTGTTTACGTGACAAATTTTACTATTTGGCTGTGTCGGATGGTGGCCTATTACCGACACATTTATATATTTGCGCGATCTAACCCAAAAAAACTTTTTTATGGATAATATTGGTCGTGAATGCCTACTAGGTGTTAAACTGATCTTAATATATAGAGGACTGCAGGGCTTGGGCAATTGTTATTGACGGCTCACTGCCTGGCTGCCTTCCAGCTGATCCGTGGTTCCTCAGCGATTGAGACATGTAATTTGCATGAACGACCCAATATAAAACAAAACATTCGGCTGTCTCTAAATGCATTAAAATTAATAAGCAAATTCATGATTCTTACTGTTGAACCCAGCAATTGCATGCAAGATGACACTATATTTAAAATGCATTTTTATCCATCTCCATACATAGCAATTTACCAGTTTATTATTCATAAGAGAGAAATTTTAATAATTTACTGTCAATCGACTGCTGGATGAAGACCCCTCCACATTGTGTCAGTCAGGGGATTTTTTTACCACGTTTCACCACGATGGATAATGTACGTTGGTGAAGCAGGGGTCCAAGAATGCTGTAGATATCACTCATCACTGATTTTAGGCAAGGCTAGGAATCAAACTCGGGTTGTTAGGTTCAAGACGCATTGCTCAAACCTATGTGCCGCCAACCCACCACCACCCCCCCTCCCGCTCAGACTAAAAACACAATTGTGTTTTTGGGATTGCGTTTGCAAGACTGCACTTGCACGTTACGTTCGCACGCACACTTTCCCGGAGCCTTTCTACTTCGGAGCCGTCCCCAAAAAGCCGAGACGCCATCCAAAAAGCAGATGACGATAATTAAACTCAGCGGCTGGAGTGATAACAATGTAATAAGCACCTTCTCATGAGTTAGAGGGAATACGGGAGAAGCTTTGCTGGTTTTTTTGTTTCCTTCTCACTCCACTTTTCCATTGCCCCAAAGCCCTCCCTCCCCCCCCCCCCCCCCCCCCCCAAGCGAACGCGCCCAGGCCACCTGCAGTCATGACGATGCCAGCCAGCACTTTCCGGCGAGCGTTGGGCGACGTGAAATTGTCGGTTAGCTCGCCAAACTTGTCCTGGATCAATCGAGCCACCGCATCTGCCAGTACCTGGAGGGAGGGAAAGAAAGAAAAAAGAGAGAGAGATGGCAATCAGCGTTGCTGCTGGCAGCACGACACCACGCAATGATTGATGTACTGCACCGAAACCTGGAATATCAAGTGAATTGCCAGCCTGGCACAGCCATTAAAAAAGCAGTAAGAGCCGATGCCAACGATTTCTCGCGAATGCGGTGCAGCCAAAATGAACTGTCCTCAAACAATGGCAGCCGAAGGAAAGGGAAAAAAAAAATCTAATTACCGAAATTTATTAATGAAATATTTAAGTGCACAAAGTTTCAAGTTTTCAAATAGAGTTTTCAATGACTATTTGTGTCAGACTGTCATCTTCTTAAATACGGTCACGTCAGGTTTAACGAGACCAAAATTACCCGTGAAATCAATTACCGTTCAACGTGTAAGTAAACGTGCACTGCACCGGCGACAACGGCATGAATGGAGGAGTGTGCACAACGCCACCATAACAGTCTGCAAGGGTACCACCTTCAACCCGTGGTCGGTGTTGCTCGACAATGGCCCAGTTTACATTTCTTCCAAGCTTGAATCCTCTAACCGCGTGAGTTTATTTTTTTATGGCGAGTTATACGTCGTGTGCTGTTATATATAATCTGCTGTCCTTTTGTCAGTGCTGGTTGGTGAAAGGCGGTGGAAAGTAAGTCAGGACCGGTTCAGATATCAAATCGCGACATGAACAAAGACGGTCACTGCATTGCGTGCTTTCAGATGCGCTTCTGTTGGCCGTCTGGAATGCTCTTCCTTCCAATATTAGGATGCCATTTTTCTGACCATGTCCATCCAGTGCTCACCGAGCTGCATTAGCATCCAGTTGACGAACAAATACATTATAAGCTTGCACTCATTAGACACAAAGTTCTTGCCACAAATTAACCACAATCCCTTGCTGATCTCGTCAAGGAGCATAAAGCATCATCACGCAAACTCTGGTTATCCTCGCGGCGGCTTTTGGCAAGCCACTGCACAAAGACAGTCACTGAATCGCGGGCTTTCAAATACGCTTCTGTGGCCGTCTGGAACAATCCTCCTTCCGATATTAGGAAAGCAATAGAGCTATGCACTTTTAAATCTGGATTAAAAACTCATTTCTCAAGAACCGCTTCTTGTGTTTAGTTTGTTGCCCTTCCTATTCATCCCCAATAAGCATGGTTGGCTTTGTACGGTGCGAAAGAAGTTAAACACACATACATACACTCATGTAAGCTGTAGCTGGGAATGGAATTGAAGTGGCTAGGTTCATAGTGCTGTACACTCACCACTGCGTCACTGCTCCACACACAGCTCTATTATATACCCTGTGCTATGAAGTAGATATAAAATACCTTTTCACATCATTACCATTTGTAAGACAAATGCTACTATCTATAGGCCACTATCTAATCAGACGGATGTGTTGAGTTTTTTTAAACAAAGTCCAAAGTCTTACCCGCAAGCCGACAGTAAAAAGCGCACGTTAACGGTTTTTTGGTAACCGTATTTACACAATTTCCCATTGTAAAAACAAGAACAAAATTCAACAAAATCCACCTGCCTAAATAAAAGGTCAATCAGTCAACAGTTTGCACCCAATCACCGTGCTTCATTTGGCAATAAAGATGAAGGAGTGGTACTATTGAGTAGGTTTTCATGGTCGCACCGTAAAGCTCTCCTGTGTTTAGGGGTTAAATCGCGCGCCGTTCGGCACGATGTCCGACGATTTCGCTCAACACCAAGCTCCCCGGAAACGAAACCGTGAGGACGATGTGGGAAATATCGCTCCAAAATTACAACTGCATGAATCTTCAAGCACGTGGAGCAAAGAAACGGCGAACAACACGTGATACAACACACGGTACAAAGACAAAAAGACAAAGATCCCCATATAGCCTTAACAGACTGTTGGGGCAAGTGCTGTTAGCGAGCACCTATGAAGGCCAGAACGGCACACCAGGGGGTGAGTGGCCAGCACCATGCCCGGCCGCCTTTGTCTCCCTAGTGGCGATGTTTTTACGCACCGCACCAGGTACTCACTTGAGGTTGACTCGACCAAGGGAAGGCCCATGACCGGTTTAGATAATTGTCACCGATGTTGGCCGTGAGTGGGAATCAAACTCGGCGAGCCAGGGAGCTACACTACCGCTCCCCACTACCACTCCCCAACATGCAGCACAACACGCTGTACAACACGCAAACACATCGCAGACCTATAACGATGTCTCACCCAAAAATCCCCATCAGCCTGGTCAGCCACCTCCCGCTGCAGCTGCGATTACAGTGACCACGGCACAACAAAGCTCAGTGGGTGCCAGAATCATAACCTGCCTAGCATTGTCTGACGAGCGGATTGCGCACATTTTTGAGCCAGAAATCGGCGCTTGCTGCTCAATTATAGAGTCAAATGAATTGGTGATGCTGTGCACGTTGGCCGGTGGTGTACGAGCACAACAAAGAACTCGTTTCGCAGCTGTTGCTATGAAGAAGGGTCATTGCCGGAAAGATCGCCTGTATTTACAAAAAAATTCCTTTTAAGGCAGTGTTATTGATGAATGGACGCTACATAAATTTGAAATATAATAGAATGCGTACATTTTTTTTTTATAATCATGCAATTTAAGAGGGGCTGCAGGAATTTACGATTGTGGTGCGATACCAGCGCAGGCAACGCCAGACAACGCGGACGGAAAAGATTAATATATCCCCATTCGGTGTTACGGGCAGTTGAGGCAAGTTCTGTTAGTGAAGACCTATGGAGGGCTGCCGTGGCACACAAGGGGATTGTGGGATCTGCACTCCACCTTGTCTCGTCTGAGTCAAGGTTCACCTGGCATTAAAATGTCTGGTTGAGTTGACTTAGGAGTGGTTCAGACAAGATTTAGAAACGTGCATTGAGAATATTTTGCTGATATAAATCTTCACATGATAATCCACTACATTGAGCTATAATTTGCGGCAAGGTCTCTTCTGAAAAAGAAGCTAATAGCTCATGTGGGCTTTTACCTGATTTAGTTTTATTTGTATATATTTTTTAAAAAAGTGATTTGTTTACCTTTCCTATACTTTGCACTCCTATTGTGTTTTTATTGCTTGTTGTTGTAACGTTCTGACCTACTCCGACTGGACATCTGTGAAAAAGACCTTTATAGCTCATTGACTTCCTCCAGTATACGTAAATATTCCGATTCTGAATAATAACTGATATGCAACACCAGGAATTGAACGCAGATGACCAGGAATGCAACCTGCTGCACTGACAACATTGCTCCAACAAAACTGCAGGCACTACACAGCAACAACGTGCATCTTTTATCACCTAAAGGCAAAAGCATTAGAAATTGTTGTACACCAACAGTATAAATGATAATCTTTGGTTTTTTCAGTAAAGTCACGTAGGTAAGATAAAATAAAACAACTAAATTAAATCACGACGTTTCGGAGGCAACACAAGCTTCCGTCTTCAGGTGGAACAGTCACAGCAGAATATGTGTCAAAGTCGTGATTTAATTTAGTTGTTTTCTTTTATTTTATTTTACCTACGTGACTTTACCGAAAAAACCAAAGAGCATGAATCCTTGCAGTCACGAAAGCTTCAAATCTAGTATAAATGATCTCCTGCTGAGAAAGTCCTCGCAACACCGATGTAGCCCGATATACAAATTTACATAGTCACAAACACACACACAAAGATCCCCCACACAACCTACACAAAACTGCTGGGGAAAGTGTTGCTAACGATCATTTATGGAGGCAGTCACAGCATGCAAGGGGATTAGGTGGCCAGCATCGTGCTCAGCTGCCTTTATCTCTCGAGTTCTGATCGTTTACACACCACACCCAGTAAGCACGTAAGGCTGAGTTGATCTAGGGAAGGACCAGTTTAGATAATCACCTCTGTTTGCCGTGGCCAGGAATCGAACGCGTGTGCACAAAAGACAAAAATCCCCTGTATAGCCTGCACAGACTGTAGGGGCAAGTGCTGTTAGCGAGCACCGATGAAGACCGGCACGGCACACAAGGGGGTGGGGGTGGCCAACACCAGGCCAATTGCCGGTTCAGATAATCGTCACTGCTGTTGGTGGCCGTGAGCAGGAATCGAACTTGGGTCGCTGGGTTCGAAGCGCAGCGCGCTAACCGCGAAACGCCGCTCGTACACACACACACGCGTGAGTACATTTCCACACGTCTATATACAGACACATTAACTGCTTAGGAACAGGGTCACTCTGATGAACAGGGGCATACGGTTGCCCAAAAAGCGTGCGAAGACGAGCACACGAATCCAGGCCGGAGAGCGCTCGCATGCACACACACACACACGGAAACGGGCACTCGCACGCAAGCATCGCGTGCACCATCGCTCCAAAACGGCACACTAATACCCTATACGGACCATGCTGCGGCTCAGCCACTCGGCGCTGGGCTGGGAACAAAACCATCAGTCTCTCGCCTGCTGAAGCTCTAATGCATTTAAGCGAGTGTGTATTGATTGCTCTTGGAGAAAGGGACCAATGCCCTGCCATCAAGCAAACCCACTACCGTAGATCACCACAACTAAGCCCCCCCCCCCAACCCTTTTGTAACCTGCTACTGGTCAAAGAAAAAAAGAAGGAAAAATAAATGGTATTCTTTTTCTTTTGCAAAAGACGTAACAACGTAACTTATTTTAAGAAGTGGCACGTGATGCATTACATTAATTGCGACTGCGTGCCTTGGCGTGCAAACAACGCCAGTTTATTAAGCGTGTTTTCTTTGTCTTGGTAAATTGCGCTTTGTGTCATTAAATTCGCCGCGTGTAAACACTGCCGCCTGCTCTAAGCAATTGTTCAATGATGAATTCACGCCGACGCCACGCAGAAATTGAGTTATTTTAAACCTCGGTTGGGATCAATGCTTTGAACAAATATGTTTTTTGGGCCCGTTCCACATTGCCGAGGACTTGAGCCGCAGATTAACGATGCTGTCCATTGCGAGCGGTCCCTAAAGCCTCTTAAGGTGGGAAA